ACTTTTTATACCTTTAATTCACGTTTTTCTGTACAATCCACACAGAAATGTGTTCTCTCATTGACATGGAGGCTGTTGAGCTGAATAATACAAATTCGACAAAAATTCCTAAACTTGCAGAAAAATGCCAGTTTCTTCACCTTCATTATTTTGACGAGTGCATCATTTCCCCACGCTGCCTCTCAATTATGTTCCGTTCTCATCGACGCTGAAATACGTGTCCAGTCAAGAAGAAGAATACCAACTCGCTCCATGTCTAGTGGCAGAACAGCTGCCTTCCAAATGGAGGTAGCAAGGGGGTGGCTGTAGAAATAACAGCAGCAACAACACTAACAGCAGCAGCAGCGATAATGATGAAGATGACAAAAGAACGATCTTCTATTTTAATTAACATGGTCTCGGTCAGCACTTCTTCCCCTGCTGAGAACCAGATGGCCGTGTGCGCCTTCACTGAAGGCTTCAGTGTGAATTAATCAACGGGAATTATTCCTTACATTACGTCCTTTCCTTTCTTTTCCTTTGGGTTTTGCTTGTGTCAGGGATCGGAAAAAAGGTGAGTCTAAATCTCCGAACCTCTCCTTTTTCTCATCAGGCCAAAAGAAGAAAAAAAGTCCTAGTCTAGAATCTATCAAGGCAAAACTTTCGCCCCCCTCCCCCGAGAAAGGTGAGTCTAAATCTTTAAACCTCTCCTCAGCCCAAAAAAGGAAGACAGCAAAGTGGAAATCATTTAAAAGTGTTTAAATGAAACAGACAAAAAGAGGGGAAAGGTAAAAAGAAAAAGGGCTTTTCGTTTTAAACTAAATTAAAAATAAAACAAATAAAGCAAAAAACCGCCTCACAAGTGTTTGAAAAAATGGACTAAGTAGACGATGGGTTTCTAAAAAACAAAATAATAAAGGCAATGCTTACAGCTTTACACTTTCAACAAACAAAAACAAAGGTTACAAAAAAACAAAAAACAATCCAACAACAACAAAACAAAAAGCAAAAACAGACAAACCAGCAGAAGCTCATTGAAGAGCTCTTCCTCTCAGAGACGGCAGATGGTTTGTGTGAATGACACGCCTTAATGGGCAATAATGGCTCCTAGCGGAAACTTCGCGCCGACTTCCCTTGGCGAAGTCGCCTGCCCTGTTAGTGCTGGGCACAGAGTTGCTTTAGCAAAATCCAGATAATATATTAGTGCACATCTTCGGTAAACAATATGTTATAAACCGCTTCGGAAAATGGTTTAGAACGACTTCGACAAACGAGTTAGCATCACTTCAACAAATGGACGCACCAACTTCGGCAAACGGTTCCTGAAAGAGAGTTAAGAGTCTGAATTCGGATTGAGGATTATCCGATTATTCGGATATTT